CTCGGATTTTTACAATTGCAACATCTCTCGCGAGCATGGCCGACGCTTTCTGTTTATTAAATGCCACCCCTAAATCGGCCCTACGTGATTTCCTTTGGTCGACCAACCTCGCCGGACGTGTCCGCGGCCCTAATTTTTCCATGTACATTGGTATATAGCCTGGGACCTGTAGCAGCAGTGTCGCCACATTGAAGAGTAGCGAGGGCGCGATTTGCGATGCGAAACTTACTGGTTTTTCGTGGAACTAATATAATATATTATTTAAATAATAGAATATATATAAATAAATATAAAAATTATAATATAATATAATATTAATATAAATATAAATATAATATAATATAATTAATATAATAATAATAGAATATAATATAATATAATTATAATTAAATTATAATTATTAATATAACTGCGTATAAGGCCACAACCAGAATTTCATTTACCGAAGACCGAAAAAAATATGTATAGATTTTCTGTCAACTAGATGGCCGGGCAAGCCAGGGCCTTGCTCTGCGTGCTCGTCATTTGAGATGCGATATATCTGGCTTGTGGGGGATTTACCATAGAATTAATATAGATAGATTTAGGTCAATATAGGTTATATATATTATTTTCTATGGTATTACGGTGGGAAATCATTTTCCTATTGGCGGCCATACATGCTAAAAAATTCCCATAAATCAGCAGAGTTTTTTTGTGAAATCACAATGCCACCCTATGAACCGACGTTGGTTAAGCTAAATTTGGCTCGGGGGCCAATTTTGGCTCGGGGCCGGTTTGAGTCGGAAAGCGTTCACACGTACGCAAAGGTGGAATTAACTGTCTGCAATTCAAATTCAAATTCAAATAAATTTTATTGCACAAATTCTCATAGATTACTTTTGGCGTATTGTCGGCGCAGATTTGCCGTTCCCGAGTACAAATTAATCAATCTTGAAAACGTGCCATCCTTGAATCAAATTTGTTCGAATTTTTTACTGTTTTGGACTTTATTTCGTCGAAAGTACACGTTTCGACACTCGCCGGGCATCTTACGGCTTCAACCGATGCTACCGCTCTACGCTCGCCGAAAGCTGTGTGCTAAAATTTTTGGCTCGGACACCTGGTTCCGACGTTTTTCGATGGCGAACGCAAATTGGCTCGTGCCAAAATTGGGGCACGGGCCCGAAAAAAACCGTTTTCGTGTGAACCGGCTTTCGGCTCGAAGCCCCAAATTTCGTGGGCGCGGGGCCTTTAATTATAGGCTCGGAGCCAAAAACGGTCCGTGTGTGGAACGCGCCTTATTATTGTTGTTAACTCATAAGAATTACTTCCACAATTATTTTCTGTAAACAAGCATACACGTGAAAAGGCCACTTTGCCGCGAAATTTTACGCGAAAAAGTAGGATTGCTTTTGAAAAAATCGTATCTGGAGTTCCCCAGCAGTGCACACTGGACGAGCCACCAACACTATCAGATTTAGCAGCGATTCTAGTTCTGAAATTTACAATTGCAAAGAGTTTCCAACCTCTTTTCCGACGAGAAATAAAAAATCCAACCAACGCGTATGCCTGGGCAATATTAATGTGATTATTCGGTTATGGGTGCAAAACGCACGATTATTTTTTTATTACAACGTTCAATGTATATATATAATATATATAATATATATATATATATAAATATAATTTATATATAATATATATACATACATTAAATATCACCACACCACACCACACGGCGCGGCGGCGCGCACAACCCACACACACACACCACGCACGGCACGCACGCACGCACGCACCACCAACACACGCACGCACGAACCGCACGGCACCGAACCGCCACGCACGCACGCACGAACCACACAACAACACACACACACACACACCACACACACACACACACCCCACACGCACCACACACACACACACACATATATATATATATATTATATAACTGGAACTCCAAACGTGCTAAGCCGAGTTGCCGGAACACAACCACACACATTACAATCACATTCACACGCAATAAAATCAACATACAATCACATCGCGCCCAGCGCGAATGACAAATAGCGTGGGATTCAGGATTCGCCGGACGGTGCGCTCTCATTCCTCTCTCTCTCTCTTAATCTCTCCATAGTTGTCTACGGCTGGCTTTGAACTTCTATCGTCGCATTGTGAATCACCGAGCGCATCAGCGGGAGGATGGAAGAGAAAAATACGAGGTCTGTTAGGGCGCTTGCGGGGGCGGGGGCTGGCGAGGGGGAGGGGAGGGGGAAGGGGGAGTGAAGTTTTATACTATTGAAGGGGTTGGGCGTAATTCTGTAACGTTTGTAAATGCCGCGGGGTTTGTTGCAACTGCTGCTTGTATTAAAGATCCCTAAGCTTACGAGCAGGACAATTTGTGCGATTTTTACACCGCAACCCCCTTAACCTTCTCCTTCTCTCTCTCTCTCTCTCTCTCTCTCTCTCATCTCTCTATCTGCTCTCTCTTCTCCTCCCTCTCTCTCTCTTTCTCTCTCGCTCTCGTCTCTCTCTCTCTCTCGCTCCTCTCTCTCTCTCTCTCTTCTTCTCTCTCTCTCTCTCTCTATATATATATATATTATATATATTAATATATATATATATATATATCCGCTCCTCTCTCTCCAATTTCTATCTATTCTATTCTCATCTATCTATCTATTCTATCTTATCTATCTATCTATCTATCTATCTATCATCTATCTATCTATCTAATCTATTCTATCGATTCTATTCTACATTCTAATCTATCTATCTAATTCTATATCTATCTATCTATCTATCTATCTAATCTATCTATCTATCAATCTATCTAATTCTATCTATCTATCTAATCTAATCTATCTATCTATCTATCTATCTATCTATCTTATCTATCTATCTAATTCTAATCTATCTATCAATCTATCTATTCTATATTATCTATCTATCTATCTATCTATCTATCTATCTATCTATCTAATCTATTCCATCTTTTCTATCTATCTATCTATCTATCTATTCTATCTATCTATCTATTCTATCTATCGTATCTATCCTATCTCATCATATATCTTATTCTGATCTATCTATTCACTCTCTCTCTCTCTTTTCTCTCTCTCGGCTCTTCTCCCTTTTCTCCTTCCCTCTCTCTCTCTCTCTGGTTTTCTCCCTCCTCTCTCTCTCTCCTTTACTATATTAATTATATCTTTTTCTCTCTCTCTCCTCCTTTGGGGGTTTTTCTCTCTCTCTTTTTCTCTCTTTCTCTCTCTTCTCTCTTCTCTCTCTCGGCCCTCTCCTGCTCGCTCTCTCTCTCTCTCTCTCTCTCTCTTTCTATCTTCGTCTCTCTTTCTCTCGCTCTCTTTCTCTTCCCTCTCTCTCTCTCTCTATATAAATATGTATATATAATATATAGATTTCTCTCGCTCTCGCTCTCGACTCTTTCATTTTCTCTCTTCGCTCCTCTCTCTCTCTCTCTCTCTTCCCTCTCTTCTCTCTCCCCTCCTCTGATTCTGCTCTCTTCTCGTCTCTTGGTCTCTCTCTCTCTCTCTCTCTTCGGCTCTGCGTCTTCTTTCTCTCTCTTTTCTCCTCTGCTCCCCCTCTCTCTCCCTCTCCTTTCTCCTACTCTCTCTCTCTCTTCTAAATATCTTTCTCTTTTTCCCCTCTCTCCTCTCTCTCGCCCCCCCCCCCATCTCTCTCTATATATATCTTTTCTCTCTTTTTCCTCTCTGCTCTGTCTCTTTTTGCTTTTTCTCTCCGCTCTCGCTCTCGCTTTTTCCTTTCCTTTCTCTTCTCCTCCTCTTTCTCTCCCACGAGTGTCCACCTCTGCCTCTCTCTCTCTCTCTCTCCCTCCTCTTGTCTCTCTCTCCTCTGTCTCTCTTGTTACTCTCTCTCTTCCTCTCTCTCTCTCTGTTTTTCTCTCTCTCCCCCTTTCTCTCCCTCTCTCTCCTCTCTCTCTTCTCTCTCTATATATATTATATCTTGCTCTTTTTCCTCTCTTCGCTCTCGCCCCCTCTCTCTCTCCTCTTCGCTTATATAGTATATCTTTCTGCTCTTCTCCTCTCTTCTGTCTCTTTCTGCTTTTCTCTTCGCCTCTGCGCTCTCGATTTTTTCTTTCTTGCTCTCCTCTCTTTTCGTTCTCCCCACGAGTGTCAGCCTCTTCTCTCTCTCTCCTCTTCTCTCTTCTCCTCTCTCTCTCTCTCTCTTCTCTCCTCTCTTCTCCTCTCTCCCCTCCTCCCCAGAGTTCTTCCTTTCTCTCCGGCGCAACATAATGTTCCCTTTAATTGACTTGCGGTACTGTCGCATAAATCAAGGAGGGCGTCATAATCCGCGGCTGAATGTCAGCAGCTTCATTTCCTGAGATGCTTTCTCCAATCTCTCTCCCCTCTTCTCTCTCTCTCTCTCTCTCTTGCTTCTCCAATCTCTCTCTCTCTCTACTCTCTCTTCTCTCTCTCCTCTCTCTCTCTCTCGCTGCTCCGGCTCTTCTTCTTTCGGGCGGGGGCTCGGTCGTTGTCGGTTGGTGCGCTCGTGGCGCGTGGCTCGCCTCTTCTCTCGTTTCCGTCTGCTCTGGTGTCGTCTCCGTCTGTCTTCTCTCCGCTCCCGCCCGTTCTCCTCTCTCCTCTCTCTCTCTCTCTTCTCCTCCTCTTCCTCTCTCCTCTCTCCTCGTCTTCTCTCCTCCTCTCTCCTCTCTCTTTCTCTTCTCTCTCTCTGTCGCTCTCTCTCTCTCTCTCTCTGTGTTTTGTCTGTCTCTCTCTCTCCTCATCTGTGTTTGTCTGTCTCCTCTGCTCTCGCTCTCTCTTTTCTCTTCTCTCTCTCTTGTCTCTCTCTCTCTCTCTGCTGTTTGTCTGTCTCTCTCATCCTCTGCGTGTGTTTTTGTCTGTCTTCAGTCTCGTCTCTGCGCTCTGGTCTGTCCATTCTTCTCGCTTCTTTTTCCCCCCGTTCTTTCTTTCTCTCTCCTCTTTGTCTCCCTTTTTCTCTGTCTCCGCTCTCCCTCTTCCTCCTCCCCTCCCTCCTCTCCCGCTCGCTTCCTCTCCTTTCCCCCTTCTCTGTTCTTTTATCTTTGCCCCTCTCTCGCGTGCTGCGCTTCTGCTAATTCAATTCCGGGACCGCTTACCGCGGGGCTGCGCCGGCGATAAAACGCCGCGTCACAAATTAGCGGTTCGACACAAAAGGGGGGACGCGGCGGGCCTAACGACACTCAACGGCCGCGGCGGCGGCCCATTCTTGAGGCGGTTGCATTGCACGCGCGGAGGACGACGGACTTATTTCAGTTCTCCGCCTCAAATCATAAACGCCAGATTAAAAGGGCCACCACGGGCGGGGAGGATTGATGCTTAAAGGATTCGGCTGCTTTGCCGCCCGCTGCTGCCGACCGCCGCCGCACCGACCGGCCGATGACGGGCGGGAACGAGGATTATTGAAAAACTATAGAAAGCGGCGAGGTCATTCAATTGTCGGTTTATGAGGGACGATCTTCTGAATTGAGGCGGGCGTTTAACAGGATTGGCTCGGCTGTGATATTTACACCCGGGCGCAGCGAGGCCGGAGTTCGGAACTTCTTCCTAAGTGGCACTCCCGACGCCGCAGACGCACCGCGCCCCCCGGGTCTCTCTCGTCTCCGCCCTCTCTCCTCTCTCCCTCTGCTCTCTCTCTCTCTCTTCCTGCGTCTGCCTTACCTTTACTCTCATCTCTATCGCTCGCTCTCTTCTCTCTCTCCTCTCTCTCTTCTCCTCTCTCTTCCGTCTCTTGCTATATATATTTATATATATATATATATATATATATTATGATGTGTGTGTGTGTGTGTGTGTGTGTGTGTGTGTGTGTGTGTGTGTGTGTGTGTGTGTGTGTGTGTGTGTGTGTGTGTGTGCGCACGCGCGTGTATGCGCGTACATGTAATATTAAGCCTCACAATAAGATGTATCTATCTCTCGCTATGGTTTCCCATCATTGCTTCATTGGCTGCTATTTGATATCGCTTCGTGAAATATCCGCCTTAACCCGCATAACAAAGCGTGCTGGAAACCACATCCCCTATATAAGAAGCCTCACTTCACTAAGTACTATACGTACGAGTAGGTCTACGGGCACAAGTAACTGCGATATTGCATTACACCCTGCCTCGCCTCGGGTCAAGTGCGTGTATACGAGTAAACCGATACGCAATCGTGAACATATATCTTTTACATGATATTAGGAGGATGCGCTACCTTTCAGGATGAGGATGGAAGAGGAGGAAACTTAATTAACATGGCTTAATTAACATAATTAACAAACAAATTAATTAAGCTCGGTCGCCTTCACTCATGCACTCGATCTGCTGTATTATATTTACCAGATTTTTAATTGTTAATTGTAATTAATAATTTTATATTTAATTATATATAATATATCGGCAAACCTGCATGAAGGGTTTATGCAGGATTTCTAGATGAAATATTATTGTGAAAACCAAACGCAGTGACACTACAAAACGCGGAAAATGTGGAATTACTGTCATGTACTGTCATAACTAATGGATATATTCACTAGGTCTCCGTCTACTCCGAAGTCAAAAATAGTGTGACATTAAAATATATAAAGGTATGTATGAAAAAAAGTTGTATATATATATATATATATATCTAAAGATGTATAGGTAAAAAGATATATCTATATAATAAAGATATATAAATGATCATGTACTACATGACTATGGAACATAGTGTGATAAATAATAATGTGATATTCAAATATATAAAGGTATATATATAAAGAAAAGTTAAATATA